ATCTGTGTGGAGTTTGTATGTTCTCCCCATGTTCAGGTGGGTTTCTTCCGGGTGCTTAGGTATCCTCCAAAGACCACCAAAGTCCAAAGACATGCTGGTAGGTTAACTGGCTTCTGGGAAATTTGCCCTGGTGTGACTGTGTGTGCGTTTGTGTCTGTGGGTGTCCTGTGACAGACTGGCGTCCCATCCAGGGTGTGTCCTGCTTTGCACCCAGTGCTTGTTGGGATAGGCTCCATGCCACAATGACCCCGAATTGGATAAGAAATTATTCAATTCATTTTTAAAAGGCAGCACTTCCTACAGCTTCCCCTGACATCATAGTGGGATATTGATAGGAAATTCTCATCCAAGGATAACAGCACCACCTGAATACCAAGTATGTGAGTGTACACCACTGTGATGCTGTTCTTCAAAACTAATTTAGGATTTGCCATTGTTGGCAAGCTGGAATGAGACAAGTCTCTTGTTTCAAAGCAGTCTGTGCAGCATGGTCAAACCAGCGCAGTAGTAACTGGGGCTTCCAGGTGGCTTAATAGTAAAGATGCTTGCCTGTGGCCTGTTAGGAAAGATAATTGGCTCAAAGGTGACAAAGTGTCTAAACCTCTGAGCCAAGACTTGAAAAAACAAAACTGGCATTTCCAAACTGGGTAGGTAATTGTTGGCAAAATAATTGGTGGAGAAAAAGCTGAAATAGGAACAATAAAATGTATATAATTACAGGAGCATTTGAACAATGAGAGATCTGCTCTGTTCTTGGGTATGAAAAAGACTAAACAATTTTTTTTTACGTTCATTGGCAAGTATTTGTATTGGAGTAAATACACATACACAATTGTGTATGTTGAAATGATGTTCCATATATAGCAAGCTAATTTGACTTCAAAAAAGCTGTTTGTCTTTCTTTTCAGCTGAAGGCCCGCCACTCAGCACCTTCTGTTACATCGAGAGCTGTGGGAAATTAGGCACCTGGCGAAATACTGAATAATGCTGGAGGAACTTTCTGTCTTCTCGGTAGATTGCTCCCCCTAGTGACGCTTCCGTGCATTTCAGCAAGCTAGCTTCACTATTGCAGCAGGGACAAAGACAAAACCCCATTCTCAAGGTAACAAAAACGTTACTGAAAATTTAGACATAAAGTTTTTGTTGCTGATAAAAAATGTATTTTTCTTAAAAGCAATTAATTTACAGAAGAGGTAGAGTGTTTATATTCCGTTGTTTGCATTCATTATATTGTAATCGATACTATGTATTATTCTTATTTAGCGAAAACACATGCTGTAATTTCCACCTCTTGCTTGTCGATCTTTTAAAGCTGTCTTTATAAACAAACTGCTGGACTGCAGCTCTCCAGAACCAGGGTTAGAACTCTCACTTTAGAAACTATAGCTATAGTACACAGGATGCTTCTTCATTGTGACAATTAGTCTTTCTGATAGCTTTTAGTTTTCTTTTCTCGCTGAACCTTGTGAGTAGCGAGTTTTTTTCAGTCTGTTTAAATATCAATTTCAGCTGACTTTTGTTGTGTGTCTCCTGGTGCAATGATTAGAGAAATCATAGCCATACGTCATTCAAAAGTTCAGATGCGTAGCTGCGTCAGCATGCGTAGTCTGCAACGAAACAGGTAATAAGTTGATTCCATGCTGAAAAGAGAAGAGAGAAAACACAACGTTTCGGCTGTGAAACCTTCTCCAGGTGTCAAAAATTCAAAAAGTTATTCTGCGATAATTTTAAGCCTCTGAAAAAAAGAAAAACAGAAGCCTTAAACAGGCAGCATTGACAGTACACTGAAGGAGAAAAAATAATGTTGGGCTATGCATCAAGAAAATTAAACAGAATGTAATACATAGTAAAAGGCACCCAGCTGATCATCTGCTCTATAAAGACTATCAATAATGATAGTCCTTAGATTAACCATTTTTTAAGATGCCAATTAACCACGGTGAATAATGGAACAATTTATTGCGGAGTGCTGTCAGGGGCATGGATTATAAAGTAACTTTATTAACAAAGCATGTATATCATAATGGGTGATCATTTATTTTCATCGTTTCACTCCCATGTGATACTAATTTCTATAGCAAGTAATTGATTTCCATGTGTATTCCATTACTGTAAAAGTGCTCAATCAAATCATCGACTTGGATCTGCACGAGTCCCATCACTCAAAGACAATTAAAAGATAATTCTCTTAATTAAACCAGGTGTGTAAAAATGTGTTCTGGAATGCAACGTACTTAGCTAAAATTACATTTACAGTATATCTGAAAACATTGCACAAGTCTTTTTATGAAAAGCAGACAGCATATTCATTTAATGCTGCATAAAAGAAGAATTCCAAGCTCGCCTGCGTAATGCGATACACTCTCTACAAGGAGAAAATTGAAACAACAAAGGTCATCTTTGGGAACAGGCCCTAAAGACTAGACTCGACAGAGTCAGTGTAGTGTAGGCATTCCACTGAGTCCCAGCATTTAACTGGTTGCTCTTCTCTAAACTAATCCAATCAAATCCCTTTGTTTACCCTGCTTGCAAATTCCCACACTTTTTTCTGTCTAAATTGCCCACCAGTGGTGTAAACTGACAAAGATAACTCAGATTTCTCCATTACACGAGCTTACTAGTGCATTCTACCATTTGAACATAACAAACAGTTCATTGATTCAAACATTACACTTTTTACTATATATGTCAACATTGCCTCTTGTATTGCTTCCCCACACAGTCAAGAAAATGTAAACGATGCATCAATATAAACATCTCTTTTAGCTCCTCGTTTCCTAAGAGTCTGTACTGTAAAAAGGCGCTGTCCTTCGGATGAGACCTGACTGTTTGAGGTCATTAAAAATCCCAGGGCATTTCTCGAAAAGAGTCGGGGTGTCGACCTGGTGTCCTGGCCAAATTTCCCAATTTTTATCAAAAAAATTACTAAGTTTAGTTTTGTCAATCTATTTATGGACGAGCTCCGCTTTACCAAAGGAGACATTGCATAAATGGTCTGCAGTATGTACTGTATGTCTTATTACTTTAAGTCCAATAATTAGGATACCGATGTACTCTGGATATTTATTTATCTCGAGTACTTCTAGTACCTAAAACACTGCTGTCTCTTCCATGTTGATACTATTTAATGAAGAATGTTGATCTTCCACTGCCTGAAATATGTTATAGACTTTTTTCTTAGTGAATCCTGAGTGAAATACTCATTTAGTACTTCGATCTTTTCCTTTTCATTGTTTTTAGACTATTTCCATTATTGTCCAGGACACTAATTCGTCCTTTACAGTTTTTATGCTGTTCAGGTACTGAAAAAACTTTTAATTGTTTATTTTAAATTCATTTCCACCGTCCATTCTTGGACAATAGTTCCATAATCCCCACAAAACATTCAGAGACAGTATTTAGTGCTTGTGCTGAGTTTTAAGTTGAGTGTTTTTTTTACTTCGTTGTTGCTACTGCTGTTGTTCTGTGTTTAAGATAGATGGTGTTTCTTTAATGTCTTTGTATTGGAAAGCAATCCAAGTACAATGATGCAAGTAAGTATTGCATTGCACTTGTACAAATGACAGACAAACTGAGCCGAACTGAAACATGTTACAAGTGCTATTTTTAATCATTTCATTTCAAGTTCTTTTATCTGGTATTGGCAGTTAATGTCTTGTTCAACCATTCAGGGTCCTGTTTTGTTTTACTGACTCACAGGACAAATCTGTTCTGTGCTTCAAGGGAGACAAAGGAGGGTGTAGGGAAGTGATCTGGGAGCTGTCCAATCCATTATGCATGCAATGGCCAGAGCTTTTGTCAGGTATGGTGATTTTTGTGTGTGTGTCTGTCTGTCTGCTTCCCTCTCCTTCCTGCCTTTCTAGTGCAAACAGTACAACAGAGATTAAGAGACACGCTATTTGCCCAGACACCTGCCAATCAGAGGTGACACCTTAGATGTGTGGGTGAGCCGAGCACCCTGGAACTGAGCCTGGATCAAAGGGACAGACAGGAAAGACAAAGGAGAAAGGGAAGCTGGGACAGTGATTAACTTGCATATAGTCCGTTACTTACTGTAGGTGAAGCCCCGTTTGCTTGTGAAGGAGCAAGTAAAGGTTTATTCCAGGCTGAAAAGAGAAGAAACGAAACACAATGTTTCAGCTGTGGAGCCTTCTTCAGGTGTTAGACCTGTGATTTCTGGGTGTGGAAAGGGTCTTGGGAGCTTGATTGTTCCATTGATCAATGAATGATCTACTGACAGAAAACAGCCTGAGGGGGGAGTCCAACAGCTCTGTTTAGGATTGATTTTAATGGCATCGTTAACCAGGTTATTATCAGCTGCCGGTGAAGAGGAGTCATCAGTAAAATGCTCTCCGAGCCAGATTCTGCGGTAAAAGCGGTTAAGGTCAACCTGGGTTGTCCAGCGTCTTGGGGACTGAGACAAGGTTCCTGAAGAAGGCTCCACAGCCAAAACGTTGTGTTTCTTTTCTTCTCTTTTCAGCATGAAATAAACCTTTACTTGTTCCTTTGCAGTCTGCGCATGCTGACGCAGCTACCTACTTGAACCCCTTTTGTTTATGTCTGATTCGGAAGAGTGGTCTCTTGGAAGTTTTGGAACGTTACAGAGAGAGTATGAGGCCTGGATGGAGTTTCCCATGGAATCTTTCATTTTGGTTACTTGGAACTGTAGAGTTAATTTTTGTGTGTGTGCCCCTTGTGAAGTTATTTTCTTGATGTAGAAGGTGATACCTTAAAGTTAATTGTAGTACCAGAATAACAACTGTAGCTATGTATTCTTACTGTTTTGTGCTGGTCTGTGGGTGCACTGGTGACTCTGGTGGATCCAACAGCCTAGGCCTGTGACCCTGTACTGGATAGGGTGATTGGAAAATGAGTGGAGGGATCACTCCATCTTTTAATCTGGGAAGATGGGAAGTATCTCTTTATATACTACTCTGGATTAACACCTCAGAGACTGCATTGACATGTTGCTGTATGCTACAAGAAGTTGTCAAACTACATCATGAAAATCATTTTATTGATAATTGTATTTATTGCTTAGAATCTGCTGCTGCTGATAGATCAAAGATATAAATATACTGTATATACAGCACCAAAAATACTAATGTAGCAAGACAACGCAACAAGAGAGGTTGCCAGTAAATCTACGGCTTTATCCACAAAATGCAACATTGATATTTTTTAAAAAATTCTGTAGCTTCAGGTGATTTTGATTTACTAAGGTTACTGTCGTGCAGCAGTCTTTTTAACTTGCAGAACCATTTGAACATTTAAACTGGTAAACATGCAGAAATTCCCTAAAAACAATTCTGATAACAATATTAAGCACACTTAATACTGAAAAGCACATCTGTGCATGTGAACATGTGATGGCCATTTCAGTAGCTCAGAAGATGGAAACATCTGTGGCCGCCAGAATTTAATAAAGCTGTTCTGAGTTATTTTTCTCCCTTGTGCATATTGTATGATGAGTTTGTAAATGTCACAATCAAATACAACAGCAAGAATGCTTTTAAAAGCAAAAGCAAATTTTGTGTTTTATGCAATGTTATCCGTGTAAGCCCCTTAAATAACACAATCTATACAATAAAAAAAGGCTACAATACTCGCAAAATCCTTTAGGGAGAAAGAAGCACCACCACCTTAAACTGAAATTGTATTTGATTGCAAAGTAGAAAAAAAAAACTATTATCCCTGCATTCACTTCAAAATGTCTGCCCAGTCAACAATCTCAAATTACAAATCCCAGTTTTCATGACAGCTGTTAGTTTGCTAGAGGTGTCTTCCTTGGAACGGTAGCACTGGATGTTTCAGTTGTAATCTATATTTCTTGATTGATAGATGCATCGAAGTTTGTTAAGACCTGGGTTTCAGCCCAAAAAACATAACACAAATCCAGCATTACTGTGTATGTTGTATACATAGTCTACTTCATTCTGAAAATTCCCCAATTTCTATTTCTGGATGTGTTAGTTGAAGATTAGTGTCCTTCTTCTGTTAACAGCCAGTGGCAGACATTTTGAAAACTGCCCCAACACTTTCATCTCAATTAACACAAAACATTCTTTATCTCTTAGTTCAACCCAACATGGAACAACACATTTGAGTTACATTTACGTCCATATTTAACGACTTAAATGATTTTAACACATCAAAAGTCTCTTCTTCTGAATATACAGTATCCAAAATATGAGAAATAGATAACTGTTATATGGTTTGGTTATCATACCTCTTCTTTTCCTTTTCTGTTTCCTCTTATACCTACTTCTTTACTTTCCTTTTAACTTTACAAGTCCTTTCATCTTACAAATCTTCCTTTTATGTTTCGCTTACCTTCCTGTATTTTCTCATTCCTCTACTAACCCACAGCTTAAGGTTAAGAGAGGAAGTCCTCTGAAGGCTTTGTCTGATACCATTTGCATTTTATAGCTTTGGAATTTTCTCTTAGTCCTGGAACGTGGAATACATTTGTGTTTTTTTCTCACACATGCAGACTGGTTCTGTATTTCCTGCTATTTTGGTCCCTGCAAAATGTGACCCAGAATTCTATTTTTGGTCTCTGATTATCTGTGATTACAGACATTACAAAATATACTATAGAAACAGAAATACATACAAATATACATGTACATTCCCAATCAACACAATCTTTTTAAGGCACTAAGAAATTCCATTATTTTTAATACAGCTGAACTCTGTGATCATGGATTCAGTTCCGGGTCGTGTCACTAGCCAAGTATAATAATAATAATTGCTTACACTTATATAGCGCTTTTCTTGACACTAACACCTCTTCCAGAAGCAACCTTAGGTTTTCCCAGGAGGTCTCTCATCCAGGTAAGATAAGATAAGATCACTTTATTAGCCATATACAATTTCCTGCGTTAGGAATTTGTCTTTTCACATACCCCAGCTTGCTCTCCATAAGATACAGACAGGGAGAGAGAAGCTTGGGGTCAGATTGTATAGCACCCCTATAGCACCTGGGGTTAAGGGCCTTGTTCAGGGGCCCAATGGAGTTAGATTCCTCTGCCGGTTGCAGGATTTGAACCGGCAACCTTCCAGCCACAGGTGCAGATCCTTAGCCACAGTGCCAGCACTCCGCCTGGCTGGCAGGTACTGACCAGGCTCACACCTGCTGAGCTTCAGTGGGCTGCCAGATGTGAGTTCCAGGGTGATATGGCTGCTGGCATATACAGAGTAATACAGAGCAATACAGTAAATAGAGTAAAACACAGTGATACAGAGAATACGGGGAATTCAGTGTCGTTGTGCAGGTGACTTATTTCATTACCTGATGGAGTCTCAGGGACAGGTGTCATCAATGACAGGGCAATGGCTTCCTCCTCTGGGTTTGTGAAGAGAAAGGTTGTGGCGTCAATGGCCTTTCCCACTACTTTAAGCGCTGCTGGGACAGGTGTCAAGCCAATCCCCTTTCCGTCCCCTTCACTCCTCATGACTGCCTCAGCCCAGACTGTGTTTGCTGACTCCATCACATTAGGCTTACGCTTCTGGTTGGCCTTATTGGCTGTCACTCTGTCTCTTGCTGTAACTGGGATTTTGCAATGCAAGATGCACAAGGAGCTGTGTGACCATGACAGTAGGGTGAAATTAGCTGGCCAGGGCTTTTTCGGCTTTCTACTGTTGATGAGGAATGGAACTGTAACGAAAGCATTCTTCCAGGACCCTATGCAGACGACACAATCCGGGAAATCCAGGTCTCTCTGGTGACCAATGGCAGGGTTAAGAGCTTCAAGCCAAGACGAGAAAAATGAAAAAAAAAAAAACAGACAAACTAGAAAGTCTAGTAGAGATCCTCATGAAAGAGAACTGAGATTCAGGGAAAGAGGAATAGTACAGACAGCCATGATCAATACCACAGAAGGATACAGCTAAAGGTGTATCCTGTGAGAACTCCAAGCATTTCACTTTCTGATGCATCTGACATGGTAGCCCACGGGTGAGGAGAAGTCATGGCGAAACAGCTGGTGCTACACTGATCGCAATGGCATGCAATATAAAAAAGCAGCCCGCATGATAGGCGAGTTGTGCAGAGACTCAGTGCAAACTCCAACAGCCAGAACTACAATGACAGGGATTAGCTACAGCCCTGGCAGGCAGGACATGTGCTGCATTGGACCAGAGGGTGGGAAAAAGAGCATGCTGGGATGCTTTTTCCGATAGACATGGTCCCCAGACACAATCAATGAGTGGTGCCCAAGTCGGGATCACACTCCAGTTGCCTAAATTGAAGACTCCAAAGATCCCAAGTAGTGGCGGTTTTAGGTTGCGGCCAAAATGGGATAATCAGCTATTGAGGGTGAAAAGCACCCAGAAAAATGCTGTATGGGGATGGAGGTCCGAGGAAACTTATTTTTAGGGAGAAATGATTGGCATGAATTATCTCCTACACCATAAAAGGCTAAGCCCAGATTTTGCAACCTGATGTGGTGTATTATTTAATCTAAAATCAGGTTGAAAACAAGAACTACCCACTGCTCCTTTTATAGTGAGACAGGCTTAGGGAATAATGTGTGCCATGACATGATATTGTGCCTGGCAAGCTTGATTAGAGGTTTTACATCCGTGTGTGCCATGCTCTCAGTATTTTTGAACTGAGATAAACAAATGTGAGGCACTTGATCAGTTTGTGCCAAGTTCCCGAGAACATGTCAGGGCAGGATAAGCTAGTATAGTCTGAGAACTAGTGGAGAATCAGAGGCATAGTCAAATTGTGTCTGAATTTGGGGTGATAAAAGGCTTTTCAGCAATGCAGTTGGGTAGACTGCTTAACAAAGTTTCTCCCCGGTTTGAACATTTGAATACCAAATCTGACCACTGTTGTTTATTACTTCTATTAAATTTTGTTTAGATTATTTAGTTACATTTATGTGTGAAACCATTTATCTCCTGGTCAAACGCTTTGTATCTGGTTCAAAACCCAAATAAATCCTAACTTACATCTTTAGATAAGATAAGATACATGTTCTGGATGTGTTTACCATTTTTTCTAGAAGCACAGCTCAAAGTGCCAGGACTCTGATTTCTCATATATCCAGAATGAAACACACATTCTGAAGTCATCTCACAATCACAGGCATAGGTCCTTAAATTTCATAAATTGCACTCTAACACCTTCCACCTTCCACTAACCCTAACACCTTCCCTGCAAGTAAAGTGAAATTAAAGTGAATATTAAAAAAATAATTAATATTCAGGGCACTGGAACAGGTAATCGTTTCACCCCAGAAGCTGAATAGGTTTCAGCACTAGCTTTTTCTACAGAATCTCACACTTTGGAGCTGTAAATCTCACCCTTAAGGAGTCAGCCTGTGAAAATTCTTTAAAAGTTTGAAGCATTTGATCAAATATCACAGAATTATTTTTACTCATTAGAAATGAAGAATTTTATAGAACTTATAGCACAACAGTAAATGTATATTATCATGACAGCATGACAAAATCCTGTGACTTCTTTAATTCACTAATACTGTCAAAGCTGTGCAATCATTAATGTTACCAGTATAGTTTCTAATATCATACTTTATTTTAAGTTTTTGTGGAAGCAGGCAGTTTTTTTTTTTCCATTGGGCACTTCCAAATGAACTTTTGGAAGTTTGCATAGACTACAAACTTTAAAACGTCTTGTTTGTGAAGTACATGCAGACTTCATCCCTAACATCACGATTTCTTTTCTTACACATTTCAGCATTTTTTGCTGAACACCTTTCCAACCTTGAATAGGGCAAAAAGTAAAGTTTTAAAACCTGCGTGCCTTTTTTGGTATGTCTAAACTCTCTGTAATAGGTGAATTATTCCAATACTCAAGCATTGCCAAATTAATTTCAACAACAAGGCACATGATAAATACATCTTGTATTTCGAATAGGATTTTTGTGTGTTGTACCTTTGGCATACGCGATGTCAGTAACAAAGCGGGTAAGTATGTAGAATTAAACAAAAAAGCAGTGAAACAGATTCTCAGCGCACTAGCGCCGGCACGGCTACAGAGACAGCAGACAGTCGGCGCTCGTCTTAACATACGGGTTCGGGCGCAGCAATGTCAGCACTTCCGGGCGCAGCAATGTGAGCGTGTTCTGCGTGCGTGGCGAAGGCGGAACGTGTGACGTGGGCAGCCCGGAGCTCGGAGGTGTTTATTGTTCCTTCTGGTCGCCGAAGAGAAAGAGGCTGGTGAAGCGGAGTGAGACTGAGAGAAAGCACAGGCTTTTTCCCCGCCACTTCCTCTCTCCACAGCTTGAACGAGTAACACAGCGAGGGAGCAAAGCACAAGACCCGGGCAGAAACAGCATCCCAGCGGCCATGGCATACGCGTATCTCTTCAAATACATCATTATCGGAGACACGGGTGAGCAGCCGCTGTGTGACGGCGTAGGAAAAGAGAGAGAGAGACATTTACGTCTCTCTCTTATTTCCGCAGTGTTGGAGTCAATGACGTGGTAAAAGCACAGGAACGCTAGGGTGGGAGGGCTGCTTAGTTTCTTCCCCCCCCCGTTAAAATAACTGATCTAAGGTGACATAATTGCCATTTGGCAGGTGAATTGACAGCAGCCGCCTCGGCACCGGCCTGCTTGTGTCTTTCCATTGCGATTGCGGCGAGGGTGGAGGGGAGGTGGGGGCTAATTGCATTGCAAACACCAAATAACCCTTTCCCCGAAAATGGCTCCGGCGAAGACGGACCCGTGTAGCAAGATGCGCCGGCCCTCTCTGGGGGGCTAGACGGGCAACTGTTGGACGAGTCCGCCCGCAGATCGCCGGCTGCCCGTCGTCGTGTTAACGTCTGCAGGGGAAGGAAATGTTTTCGCTTTGGGGGGGAAAATGGCGTTTTCAGCGGTTTTGCAGACTGTCAGCCTTCGGGTTGACTCTGCTTTTCGGTTATGTAAATCATCGGCGACAGGTTTTTTTTGTAGGCCTAGGTGGTGATGGGGGGGGTTATATTTGTGCATGCCAGCTCACCTGCAACACACTGTTCCACCTGCGGGGAATAAATAGTATAATCGGAGGTTGGAGGAAAATAATAAAAAAAAACTGGCCTTGCAGTTCTTCTAGCTGTCAGGGGAGCTCCGTGGGTTGTTTCGCATATGCTGGCTTGACAAAAGTCCGGGCCTTCGCTAGACCCTGGTCATTTCGTGATAAAGATGCCCTTTCATCTTTTGGTTTGCTTAGGCGGTGTGCGACACCTTGACCGGGTTTCAGCCTTCTTCAGCTATATTTCTGTTAGCTGAAACGGGGAGGAAAGCCCGTGTTAGTTTGCTCTCTTGTTCGTTGTGAAACCCTCTCTTAACGCACTTACCATCTCAGCATCACAGGTTATAACATACTTTCCCAGATGGCATCCGACTAATTTAAACCTACAGATCCGCTTCAAAAATAATCTTCGCATATGTCATCCCCTGCAAATCAACGTTTTGTGAATTTGCTTAAAATATAGATACAAAACTATTCTTTATAGACATGGACGTTATTATCTGGAAATAAGGAAAGAACGTTTTTTAGGAATGTATTTATTTTATAGACTGGCACATAGGAAGATTGAAGTAAAACTTGCACACAGCCTGTTATCCTCACCATGTCCTAAATGAATTAATTCAGTACTAATTTTGCCACTTGGTAGAATAAGTTTTAAGTGACTTAGAATAGTATTATATTTAATTATTTAATCATTTACTTTATACATCAGTGAGCTGCATTCCTGGTGGCAGTACGTGTGGTTATGATGTTGGTTTATTAATCGGTTATAAACTCTTTATCATACCAGTCAAAATAGTAATGTCCAGGTCAGTATTTGCAGAATTTTGATTTAACTGCTACCCTTTGCACAACAATATAAATGCAGGTTTCATACATTACCAATATAAATGTTGTCTTTAATTTTGCTGTAGATTTTAAAATTATTTTTCCCAGAGTCCTGAGAAGTTATCGGATTGTGTTTCTTACAAGATGTACATGTGAAGTAATTAGCTGCTGTGGTCTCAAACTTTGGTTTATGAAGTAAACTCACATACAAGTGTCCCCTGCTCAATCCAACAACGCCACTTATTTTTCACACATGGCTAAACCCAGGTCTTCAACGAAATGTTATTGCCTGTCATAGCACCCTCTTTCCTAGTCTTATTTTTCTGTGTTTGCTGAGAAGTACCAACGTTGTGCCTCACAGTTAAATGTTATTGAGTCATTTAAATGGCCTAACCTCAAAATGGTAACTGCAGACATTGACACAAGGCCTGTGTCAGCAAGGCTGAATTGGTACAGCTCCCTAATACTTATTTTATAATGCAATGGTTCAGATGTTGCATGTGATATTGCACAGAGGGTAGAAATGTGGTGGGTGTACTGTGTACTGCAGTTCAAAGCTCATGCAATGTGGAATATCCATCTGGGACTGCACTCCAGCAAGGGTGTGGAGAGCTGGTGCGCTCCTGTTGCTCAGTGTCTTCCATAGTAACCGGCAGAAAGGATTTGACTTAGCGCATGTCCTCCAGGTTTCCCTGCAGGGCATTCCATGCCCTTAACGAGGGCGGTGTGCTGAAGAAAGGGCTGGTAACGCATGCTGCTGTGCATCTGTATTTAAAGGCAAATGATCCTGGTAGAATTCTGGAGCCAGTAGTAGTCTTTGATCAGTGCAATGACCAACTTTAAGTCTCTCTTGGGTTGGAACGTGTCTGCCAGACTGGCAGACAAGCCTTTGCAGTGAGTCTCGTTTACTTCTTGGCTGTAATGGGAGAAGTAGTGCAAGCTCTGTGGGACAGCGTGTGTTTTAAAGGATGTGGCGTGTAATATTTTAGAGGAGGAAGAGACGACCGTGAAACTGAAGCTCGGTGGTGACTGTCTTGGATCCAGAGGAGGAGAGGGAGGAGGAATGAGAGGCAGAGCGACAGAGAATCGGACAAGATGAGGACGCAGGCAGAGAAAGGAAAATGTAGATTTGATTTGTTTTAGAAAAGTTAAATCTAGATTTAAGACTGAAGTCCTGAGGTCATGCCCTTTGCCAATTCGATATTCATTAGAAAAAGTTTCAGTAGTCTCTCTTTTCTTTAAAAAACTCTTTCAATAGGCTTTAAAATACTGTTTCAAGAAATGAGCTTGAATACTTTAAAAAAAAAGAGGCTGAACATTTTCACAAGTTCAGCTCATGTTTCATCACGCGCTGCTTCCAGACTTCCTCCATACAACTTCCATAATAAAACCGCCCCTTATCACAGTCTTATTTAGCATCTGAAAATCAGACAAAATAGTTTTTCAGGCTTTTATTGGAATTTTATTTAAATAATAAATGATAAGGAAGGTGTGATCTGTACAAAATTCTACCATGTAAAATATCCTCTTCGACATGAAATGTAGCCTATAGACAAGAATAATTTTATGTAGTAATTATAACAATTTCAAGAGATGAATATGCATTGAGTTATTAAAAGTTCTTCATTCAAATTGAAGTTGTATATTTTCTCCGATTATTAGGAGCCACATTGAGAGCAAATCACATTCCTTTCTCACTTGGTATCTTGCTCATGGGTTTGGTAAAATTAAAGTTTTCAAGTTTTTAACCACTCTATATTGAAAGCTGTCAGGAATCTTGTAGATGTGACTTTTTATTAAAACAAAAGATCCATAGTAACTAATTAAAAGGCTTTGTAGTTACATGAAACAATAACACCGCCCAGTCTTATTTTACTACATTACTTACCTAGAAACTTCTACTTACCAAATCTTGTTTAGTTGGAAAAACAAAGTGGCAAGAATAATTATTCTTAACAGAAGTTCTCCACACCTTTGGAACTCTGTGACTCTGCTGCTATTTGAATCATTTGTACACAGCAGGACCACAGGAAGATTAATTGTTAAGAGCAGCAGTCTGGCATTTTCACAGAAGCCCACTACAATAGCTAGAAAAAACTACACAGGTACGAGGCGTGGCAGTCATAGTGTCATAATCGCTGCTGCTACCAGTACATTTGCTCTCAGCCAGATGGGAGTGATTTTTACCACAGGGACGCTCGGCCCCTTTGCTCATCAGTTAGCAGCATGGGAGCTGCTGGAAGCCAGTCTTGCTTACTCTGGGCTTCCTGGATGACCACATGGAAGAACTAATGTCTTGCCTCTACATCTTAACATGGAGACCAGATTTCTCTGTTCTTTTTCTCTCTGGCTTTACATGACTCTTTTTTGGATACATCTTGTTTTCATTTGAAACCTTCAAAGGTATTCTGTTGTGATCAGTTTGTACAGTATATATACTTATGTGTGTGGGAGTGTTCAGAGTAGAGGGGTAGGTACTGTAGAGCTCCTCAATATCGTCTAGGACATTCACTGTACAGACTGCTGTGTGCCTTGAATCTGCCTTTAGGGATTTATTACCTGGGAGCATGTGATGATATTGGGGTATTTTGCTGAAGATATGTAGGGTATCTCTGTTGTATAATAAGTAAATCTGCATAAACCAATTAAGATAAAACCAGCAAATCCAAAACTAATGTTGCTTTTAAACTGAACTTTTATTTAGAGTGATATTAGGAATAGTCAGAGGGCTTAATTTGGAATTAGCATGTGTTAGCATGGTGTGGTTGATTTTCCCAGGTTACTTTTTTAAAAATTTCTTATGGCATTTTAGTGTTTAATAATCCATTTTGCACTGCTGTGAAAAGAAAAACTGCATTTCAGGTTTTGTTCAAAACCTAAATTAGAGACCCGATGCATACTAGTGACTGCTACAGTATTCATTATGGAGTGCACAGAGCCTTGTTACAATTGATTTGTCATACCTTCTTAAAATTTGTGCTGCACCATGCATCCTACCCTGTTTCCTCAATAAAGCACATTCATAGAAAGACAACATGAGCAGGGATTCAAGCATGTGAGTAAATATGCTTAACCCGGGTTTCTCTTCACTCATGTGAAGAGAATTTATTCGTGTGACTAACTCCAAAACAGTCATGTCATGTAGTATGTTTATGTAACTACTAATTTTATTGGTATTGTAAAAACTCACTATTCAGGATGTGCATGTTCTAATTATGGAGGGACATTTTCATAACAGACTGGTTCTGAGCCAGGTAGCTGAGCTGTATATATACTGTGTGTATGGTTTTGACTAAACAGCAACGTCCAGGCGTACTATCAACGTGTGGAAGATTGCAGATCAGGTTGGACCTGGTGCTTTTATTGGGTCTGTTCAAAAGAGGCTCTCTGTAAGTTTGTGATTACAGTATATAATCTTTTAAAATGTGACACTTTGTTTTCTAAACAATACATTTGTAGGGAACAAAACAGCTTGAGTCAAACTGTCACTTTCACTGGCAATTAACACACTCCCTGGTAGAAACTTTAGTAGGGGAAAGTGCTCTAGTGAAA